TTTACTAGGACATCGCCTGGTCTGAAGGGTTTTGGTTATAAGGAGAGGTTAGATAAACTGATCGTTTTCACTAGAAAAAGGGAAGCTGAATAGCAACCTGATCAAGGTCTACAAAACTATGAGAAGTATAGATAAGGCTTATAGTCAGAAGCTCCCCCTACCCCCTGAAGTGAAAAGGTCAACTATAAGAGGGCACAAGTTCAAGGTGAGAGGGGGAAGTTTAGGGGAGAAGTGTGGGGAAGATGTTTTCACACAAAGGGCGGTGGGTGCCTGGAATGCACTGCCAGTGGAGGTGGTGGAAGCAGACACCCTAGCAATGTTTGTGTACCTTGATAGACACATGAACGGGAGGCCAACAGAGGGATAGAAACCACATGTGGGCAATAAATAGTGGGCCCGAATGAGGATTAGAAAAAGCACAGGCTCAGTGAGCTGAAGGGCCTGCTCCTGTGCTGTATCAAAATATATTTTACTTTATTGTTCTTCATGTCCAAGCCTGACTTCCAAACTTAAATTCCCTTTGTATTTTACCTATTACATCACAAATTCCATAAAACTTGCCCTCAGAAAACCATTATAGATATGTCTACCAGTTTCTGAAACAAATAGAACATTGCTGGGGTGGCTTAAAACTGAATGCAACTGAATTAAGAAATCCAACATACTTACTGCACCATTTGACCCATAAACACATTTGTTTAATTTCCATACTTCCCCCTTCTACATCACTTGATTTGGGTTATTTCAAAAATATTTCTATGAAATTTTTTGCTATGGAAGAAATGTAGCTTTTAGATCAATGGACTTACTACGTTGCTGGGTGTGTTCTAGATATACTAGCAAGGCTGGGGCAAGTGATGGGAACTAAGAATTTAGGACAAGGAGTACCTGTTCTCAACTACTTCGGATTTAGTTCATGCAGAACAGTATGGAGTGTAATAACCCAGGCTTCATGTGCAATTCCTGCCATTTCCATACTTGATTATAGGCCTTTACAATGAACACACAATGCTGGAGAAACTCAAGTCTAGCAGTATCTGTGCAGAGAGAAACAAAGTGAACTTTTCAAGTCTGATACAACTCTTCTTCAGAGGAGAACAAACTTCTGAAAGAGTCATTCTAGAGTTGAAATGGTAACTGTTTTTCTCCCTCTACAGTTGCTGCCCAGGCTAGATGAGTTTCTCCAGGATTCAGGTTTCCAGAACCCACAGTATTTTGCTTCTATTTGCTAAATAATTGGAGAATGTGGTTGGTTCCCCAAGGAATTGATTGCACACATGAACCCAATTAGAATGACCTTAATAAGGTAGAGAGAGTGGGATCTACAACGATGCCACCCGAAGGCTGCACCTCATATTCCACTTGGGAACACTGCAGCCCAATGATATCAATGTGGACTTCACAAGCTTCAAAATCTCCCCTCCCCCAACCACATCCCAAAACCAGCCCAGCTTGTCCCCGCCTCCCTAACCTGTCCTTCCTCCCACCTCAAGCCCCACCCCCACTTCCTACCTACCAGCCTCATCCCGCCTGCTTGACCTGTCCATCCTCCCTGAACTGACCCTAACTCCCCACCTACACTCACCTTTATTGGCTCCAACCCTGCCTCTTTGACCTGTCTCCTCTCCACCTATCTTCTCCTTTATCCATCTTCCATCCACCTCCCCCTCTCTCCCTATTTATTTCAGAATCCCCTACCCCCTCCCCCATTTCTGAAGAAGGGTCCAGACAAAGCTCCTCTGATGCTGCTTGACCTGCTGTATTCATCCAGCTCTACACCTTGTTATCTCTGACCTTAATAAGGTAGCCATGTGGATGTTGCAAAGTCCTCTAGAAGACTAAAGCCAGTTCCATAGGAGCCAAATAAAAACCAAAAGGACTGCTGATACTGTAAATCAAGAACAAAAACAGAAGTTGCTGGAAAATCTCAGCAGATCTGGCAGCATCTGTGGAGAGAAATCAGACTGATTTCTCTCCATAGACGCTGCCAGACCTGCTGAGCTTTTCCTGCAACTTCTGTTTTTGTGCACATAAGAACAAAACCTAATTCACAAAGTTATAGAAATACATCTGCTGATGGAACAGGACACATTGAAATATTTTGAAAAACATGTTAGATAGTTATTTTCTTTGCATTTAAACCTATCGTCATTGGCACAGCTCAAATACAGCAAACTTGTGGATTTTATTCAAGAATGCACCTTACATTAAAAGCAGCAACCTGCAAAGCAAGTTTGAGCACACTCTAGATATGACCTGGATAGAGTAATCAATCATATTGGAAACAAACAATGCTTGAACTGTAGCTCCAGTTTTAACCATACGAGTCAGATTGATGTTTCTCATTTATCAGTTTTACTGGTTTTTCCTCTTGGGAAGGTCAACAGAAGCCTCGTGGGCACCAGAAAAGGCACAGCTGAAACAAAATATCCACAGAAGGTACACCCATCAGTCACACATTAAAGGGGTACAGCAACATTGTGTGTTTAAGGCTACACGTGGATGGTATTAAAGTCTCTGCTAGTGGTAAGTTAAGCAGAATAATGTGAAACTGGCAAGCCAGGGGATAATTAACAGCATTTATTAAGCCCACAGGAATCCATTAAAAAGAGGGTATTGCAAACAATGCAAACATAATCTGAACGCACATTTGTTCATCCATATTTTTAATTTATAATTCTGATAACAGAACTTAATTTGGCATTAATACTTAAAGCAGTTTTTAGGCTAGCAGACACAAACATCTTCATCATTGACAGACAGTTCCATCATTGTTTCATGTCTGGGACCTGGGTTTGAAGCCAAGTCAGGCAAGTGGGATGATTGTCACAATCTCTGCTGGCAGAGAGAAAAGTACAAGAATTCAGATTCATACAGCATCGAATCTGTACCATCATAACTACCACTAAGGGCGCACTAATCCCAATTTTCTGCACTGGTCCCATACCCTTGAATGTTACGATATTTGAAGTACCATCCAAATATTTTCTAAATATTGTAAGGTTTCCGCTCTCCACTACCTTCCCAGATTCCCACCACCTGCTGTTGGAAAATATTTTAGTCCCTAAACCCCCTCTGAATCTCCTGCCCCTTACCCTAAAATTACACTATCTCATGGCTGACCCTTCAAGCAAGGGAAACAGCTAGTCTATTCACCCTGTCCACACTCCATACACCTCAATCATGTTTCGCTCACACCCCTCCCATTCTAAAGAAAACAATCCAAGCCTAACTAGTCTTTCCTTATAGCTTAATTTCTCCATCCCAGACAACATCCTGGTGAAAACAACAAATGCCAGAGATCACAGGTGGTCAGGCACCACCAGAGAGCAAGCTAACATAGAGTCTGGATGACACTTCATCAGAAGATCCTGGTGAACCTCCTTTGTGCCATCAGTTTTAAGTGACCAGAACTGCACACAGTACTCCAATTGTGGCCTTACCAACTCCAACATTACCTCCTTGCTCTTATACTTTATGCCACGACTGATGAAAGCAAGTGTCCATATGCCTTAACTACCCTGTTCATGTGCTTTGCTCACTTCAGGGATCTGTGAATAATTACCCCAAGATCCCTCTGTTCCTCTAAGCGACCCGGTGTCCTGCCAATCACTAAATACTCCCTCAATGGTTCTTCTTTCAACGTGCATCACCTCACACTTAGAGTTAATTACCACCTGCCACTGGTTTGCTCATCTGACCAACCCATCCATATCTTCCTGGAACCTTCAACCATCTTCTTTGCTATTAACCATTTTACTGATCATGGTGTCATGTACAAAGTTGCTTAACACTCCACCACCCGCCTCCCCGCCCAACATTTCATCTACATCATCTCCAATCACTCAAACAGCCTTCCACCACTACGCTTTGTCACCTATTACTAAGCCAGTTTCTAATCAATCTCACCAAGTTTCCCTCGATTCCAACCTTCTCAATCAGTCTCACATGTGGGACTTCATCAAAAGCTTTGACAAAATTCATAGAAACTACATCAATTGACCTTCCCTCATCCACACAATCACTTTTTGGAAAAAAAATTCTAGCAAATTTTTTTTTTTTTTTTTTAAAAAAGCATGACCTCCCTCTGACAAAGCCATGCTGACTATCCCTAATTAAACCGTGCCTTTCCAAGTGGGTATTAATTCACTCCTTCAGAATTTCCAGAATGGAGATCAACTTCAGTTCCAATCTTAGTGATTGGAAGTATATAGCAGAGAACTGTCACCAACCTGTCAACTGAGAAAAGGCTGACAGAATATCACTTTTAAATTAAAGTACCAGATGTAGTTAACCTATGACTTGAATGGTATGGTATGGTCTAATGTAGAGAGAAAAGCCCTCATCAATAACGTGCCTAGTCTGGCAGACGATACAAAAGCTGAAACACATTTACCAACAGATTCAGGAACAGCTTCTTCCTTGCTGTTATTAGACTTCTGAATGGAGCTCAAACTTTAAATTTGACAATGATCTTGCTCTTCATACACCTTCTCTGCAGCTGTAACATTGTATTCCTGTTCTTTTTCCCTTGTGCATTTTGTATGATCTGTCTATACTGCATGCAAAACAAAAAACTTTTCACTGTACCAATAATAAATCAAAATCAAATCATATACACAAATCAAGTGTCCAATTTTTGATGGTTTGAATTCATTAGCATATCTTTCTGCGATAAAGTTCTGATCCTATTCTAATGAATATTTTGGCAAACATGACAATCTGATCTTTTTGAGAAGCCACAGAATAAACCAAGGTTCAGATTTAGCCACACAGTAAAGATCATGACATTCCACTGAGAAACGGGTGCAACCTCCAACGTCAATCCCCAAGATCTCAACAAAATCCTACATTCCCCAAAGAATAGGCCTATTTAGTTATCAAATTCACAGCATTGAGAGCTCAATTTGTTTGGTCCATTCAATAACCTGTTATAGTTATGATAGTGTCTCATTCCAACTTTTACCTAGAGCAAACAGACAAAGGCAGAAGTGAGTTACCTGCTCTTCTGTGCATGTCCTCTTCAGATTATCTGTAAATTAAGAGATACTTTTAGGAGCAAGGCACAAAGAGGCCAAGTCATTGCTTAAAATCGCCAAGAGAAACTGATGCATCATGTATTCAATTTCAACAGACACTCCCTATCCACCCATTATATATTTATCCCTCTACTTGAGTAAACAATATTATCTACCCTGTTCTCAAACACTTTTGGCCCCCTTATCCAATTGACTCGATGTTGATGGCAATTTCACCCTCAACATCAACATTAGAAATAATTCACATGATCTCGATCCTAAGGCAGCTTCGCCCACTCTCCTATATGAAGCCCAGATTCAATGTTGTATCTGTGGCCTGAAAGTACCAGTAATCTGCTCTCTATCCACCCCGTCCCTCGATTCCATCATTTTTAAAACACTTTGAATGCATCTCCAGGTTTTGGTTGGAAAAGCTATAATCAGTTGAGGCTTTGGCTTTATTCCCATTTGTATTCCAAGACTGGGCAGCCTTCTGGGGAACATGTGAACAAGGAAAGACTAGGCCAATCAGTCCTTTGAGCCTGTTCTGCCATTCATTAAGATAGTGGTTGAATAGGTTTTAACAACAATATACATTCCTGCATATCCCTGAATCTTTCACGTTCTTCCTTGCTAATCAGGAATCTACAATTGCCATAAGATTTATACATTCTGCATCCACTGTCTTTGAGGAAAGGAATTCAAAAGTGTCTAAACCATCAGAAAAATGCTTTCTCAAATGTTTTAAATGGGCTATGCTTTATTTATAAAATTATGACCCCTAGTTAGAGATTCTCCCACAAAAGGATATGTCTGTTTGATATCTATAGTCAAGTGCCCTCAGGCTCTTGTGTTTCAATAAGTCATCTGAGACTTTTCTACACACTAGAGGATACAGGCCTGGCCTATCTAGCTTTCTGTGTTGTATCCTGTCACTGTAGCCTCAATATCCTTCCATAAAGTGCAGTGTAATACTGTACATACTTTAGCTGTGGTCTTAAGATTTTATATATACTCATCATGGGTTAGCACTGCTGTTTCACAGTGCCAGGGACCCGGGTTCAATTCCACCCTCTGGCGTGTGCAGAGTTTGCACATTCTCCCTGTGTCTGCAAGGGTTTCCTCCCAAAGATGTGCAGGCTAGGTGGATTGGCCAGGTGAAATTGCCCAGTGTTCAGGGATGCAGACGTTAGATGGGTTAGCCATGGAAATGCAGGGAGATGGAACGGACTGGGGTTGGGTGGGATGCACTTCAGAGGGTCAATGTAGACTATGGGCTGAATGGCCTGCTTCCACACTGTAAGGATTCTATTATTCTAATCACTAACTCTTGATTTTTAAAACTTTGCCATGATAAAGGCTAGAATTTCATTAGCCCTTATTTAACAATAGCTTCATCAACCCAAAGTGCTGTCTCTGAGCCAGTTATCACCTTGGCTTTTCAACATTAAACACAGTCATTCAGGATAAAAACTACACTTCCATGTGCAACTTATGCAGCAACTTTTACTTAACCAAACAGCTTCAAATCCAATTGAGAAAATGAGGAAATCAAAGTGGTCTACAGTTACAGAATTGATCATGCCCTTAAATATTTACCTTATTTGCTCAAACTTTGTGCACGTGATCAACCAATAACATCGAACAAACCCAACTTAAAAAACAGCTACCCAAAGGATTGAAAGGAAGAAAACAGAAGGAATAATATTTAATAACAATACAAATATAAAAAGAGAGCAGACAGAACAAAACAGCTCAGATTTCCCTGCCTTTGGGATGCAAGGAAAAAATATTTTCACTTGAGTCATGAATCTATAGAGTTTCCTTCCCCAGAGACTGACGTGAGACTATTTAAGACAGATGCAGAATGGTTCCTTTATCAGATCTAAGGACATGAGAAATGAGGAGGAAATTGGTGGTGTTGAGATTAGATCAGATATAACCTTATCATGCGTCAAAGCAAGCTCACAGAGTCAAATAGCTTAGTCATGTTCCCAATCTCTGTTTATAATAACTAGACAAGTAGGTGACTCATAATAGTCAATGTAATGACTTTGCAGTGCTAATACATTTTATTCAATAAAACACTGAAGTGAGAGAGTACAAATCCATATTTCCTTCTCCCTGTCTGGCTCTTGACAGAAATTCCTTCATGCTTGTACCATTTTAATCTCATCTAAAACACCCCAAAAACCAGCATCCATTTTTAAACTAAATCCATTAAGATGTGAAAGAACAATTGGAGAGAACAACAACCGTAATTCGGATTAGACACAAGCAAGAACTTGGGCTGTGTTGAAGATAAAGTGTGGCACATCTGGAATAAACATATCAGGGTCTGAATAAATATTTCAACAAGACTGGACAAGATACTGGTAACTAATAGAACATATGGTTATCAGCTCACTTGCCACTTTGTTTTCCATAATTCTTATAGTCATACAACACAAACAGACCCTTTGGTCCAACTTGTCCATGTCAACCAGTTTTCCCAAAGTGAACTAGTTCAATTTGACTGCGTTTGGCCCATATCCCTCTAAACATTTCCTATTCATGTATCTGTCCAAATGTCTTTAGATGTTGTAACTGTACCAGCCTCCATCACTTATGCTAGTAGCTCATTCCATACATACACCACCCTCTGTGTGAAAAGGTTACTCCTCAGGTCCCTTTTATATTGTTCCCCCCCTCACCTTAAACCTATACCCTCTAGTTTTGGACTCCCCTACCTTAGGAAAAAGACCTGGGCTCTTCACCTTATCTATGCCTGTCTTGATTCTATAAACTTCCAGAAGGTCACCCCTCAATCTATGATCCAGGAGGAAAAGAAGTCTCGGCCTATCCAGCCTCTTCTCAAACGCTTTCACCAAGTGTCCACAGGCACAAGTTTTGGATAGATATGGGACACACAAGTATAAGTCTGATCTCCAATTGATCAGATCGTTTGACCGAGAACTATCAAGTTCCAGTAGAATCCATGGAACAGCAATTACAATGACAGCCTGAAAATCCCACAAGCAATCATCTTGTTAATGATGGGGTATCACACCCATTCACATCCATCAATGCTTCTTTTCTTCCTTGGCTAGGCCAGTATACCACATACACTCCGCACACCAGTTGTCACTATGTTAAGGCCCCCATCCAGGGCCAGGCGAGATGCAACTAATAGGTGGTTCAGTAATGCACAGCACACGTGTTTTCAATGTATGGAGCTAGACTGAATAACGTCAGCAGATACTTAATGCAGCTGAGTACAGGAGATATAATAGCCAACTGAAGGTAAATTCAAAATAGAAATGAGGACAGTATTGAAGCTCGAGTGGTTGAACCATTTGGGAATAGCTAAATTTGACCAGTAAGCAAACTCATTATACTAACAGAATCCTCTTAAAAAACATGGAGAGCAAAGAGTTCATATTCTATGCAGCTTTGGGTCACCAGTTATCGGAAAGATATAGGTCAGTTGAAGTGAAGAAGTGTGACTTCACTAGAATATTATACTGAAGAGATAATTGTGAAGAAGGATTGCAAGCCTAGCATTTTTAATCTCCGAGACACCCTAGATTACAAGGAAATATTGATGGATTGTTCCTGCAGGATGTAATTATGTTACTTGGAAGTTACAAATCCAAAGCTAAACCAATCAAAATTGAGAGTTAGACAAAAGTTATCTTCCTCAAGGATAGAAAAAAAAAACAAATTTGATCAGCTGATTGTTACATTAATTGGCCATTCTGCAATCAGGACTCAGATAGATGAAAATTGAAACCACCTTCTGAAGATCAAATGGCCTCCATTGAGCGTTACATAAAATCTATTGCACTCATTTTTTAAATCTCTGTCATTGGTAAATCTCCACCTTTCTGTCAAACACGTTACATTCAGACACCTTGATTGTTTTAATGAAACTTTCGGGCATCAAAATAGATATACAGTCACATCCCTAATTCCTGTACAGCCCTTCAAGGGTCTGTATGGACTCCACAACTTATCACAGATTTATCAATTACTCGGCTAAAGGGACACAAAACTCTAGATTTAAGGATGTTGATAAACCTTAGTGAGGTGTCCGAGTTAATCAAACAAATGACAACAGGAAAGGACATTGATCGATGGATTAGACAAAACATTGGCCAATGTGTGCTGACTGCCAGGAAGTGGGAAGATGTCTAACTTGACTCCAAGAAAAATAGATCATGTATTCTCCAAACAGCAAGAAACTTGAAACAAGAGCAGGGTAGCAGGATGCGGGGCAAGGATAGAGGCAAGTATTTAAATTATTGGAAATAAAAAAAAAATGGAGCTCACAGCAAGTCAGACAGCATCCATAGAGAGAACAAGCCAACATTTCAAGTCTAGATGGCTCTTCCTCAGATTGGAATTAAGTACCAACGATTAGTCTCCAAACATAAAAGATTAGGCTGAAATTGAATCAAAGAATGAGACGATTCAAGAATTTGATAGGGTAGGTAAAGGGAAACAGTCCAGAACAAGAGAGAGGGGAGGTTTGCATTGATGAGGGATGTGGTATTTAACAAAGTACCACAAAAAAGACTTGCTAGCAAAATGGCAATTAAAAGTTAGTGAAAGTATGTGTACAAAATCCAGCAAAATGACAAAACAAGATGTAATGGTGACGAATCCTTCTGCAGACAGCAGAACTATACAGGTATTCCTCAGCAGTCAACATTCAGAATTCTGTTCCTTGCTATACAGTCACATCATGGGCTTGTACAATATTATTTCATACGGACAGGTGACAAAACTTGAAATTGGGTCATGCAGACTAGGCAGATACAGACAGTGAGATTTAGGCGGTGTAAAGTGATGTATTTTTATACATTGTCTATTCACTCAAGTGCAATTTTGAAAGTGTCAGGTACAGTGACAAGAGTATATGCACACACGTGGATAGAATAGGTTGAGAGGGCCATTGATAAATCATTCTTGGCTTTATTGATAGGGACAGAAAAAGTGATTGAATCTCAGTTGGAGTATTGGATTCCTCTCCTGAGCACTACACTTTAATAAGAACAGCAAGCCTATGGAAAGGCACTAAATCGAATAAAATCTATGGAGGAAGATTCAGATGACATTCTAAATGGTATGGTTACATGAGCTCTCAGGCCCCTCTCTCCAGGGATTTTGCCACAAAAAGAGGGAATATAGTTTACAACATGCTGTTAAAGCTTACAGAAACTAGATTATCAAGTGCAAATGAGGTCCTGGTTAAAGTCTGAAAGATTTCTTAAAGCATAGCAGTGGGACACCACTCACCTAGACAGGGAAAACTCCTAACCAGCCAGGATAAAGGAGTCTACTTCCTCAGAATCCAAATTCAGTAGTTTAAAATCATGATAGGAAATGGCTGAAACACAGAATCCCTATCGTGTGGAAGCAGGCCTTTTGGCCCATTGAGCCCACACTTAGTTACACACAGATCCTTCATCAGCGGAAGGAAATCCTGGAAGACCCTCCCAACAGAACCGTGCAACACTGCCACCACATTTACAACACAACTCAAGGTGGTGAGTTAGTACCACCCTTGCAATGGCAACTAGGTTGGGGAACAGACACTGGCCTAACAAGACCACACCCCAGCCCCCAATCCAAGGAGGAACAAAATGTGTTTCATCACAAGGACTATAGACAGTAGGTTAGACACTCCGTTCTGTTGGCTTTCCAAAAACAACTTAAAAAGCTACAAGAAAGGTCCACCAGGCTCCAAGCCATCTACTGACGAGATGGGGTAATTTTACTTCTCCCAAAACCCCACCCAAATTACCATTACTGGTTGAGACACACACAACAGTCCCATCTTCACACAGGGTCAAGTCATTCACTTTTCTAAAGTGAGGCTGTTTCCAGTTCATCAACCAGTTACTCCAGTTTTTGGCCAGGCTCTGCTGCTCCTGCTGTAGAGCTCGACAGCCCTGGTAACACAGGGCCCACGCCTGCTCCTCACTCACAGGCTGACCATGCACAACCAGCACTTCGTGCAAGGACAGCTGTGCGGGAGCTAATCCTGCCATTGTAATCAGAAACATGAAGGGACCCTTCCAAATAAGGCTAGCCCTTCCCTCACAGTCTTTTATAGAGAAACAACAGGACTCAGCTGTGCAGAGTTTTAAACAACGAGCAGATTAATAAGCAGCTGGTTAGCATCTTAAAGACCTGTTAAATCCAAACAAACCCTGAGAAGGAGAGGCTGGGTGAAATTATATCAGCCAAACCCACACAGTATTTTATTTAATCTATATTTTTAATCAATCATCAAAAATGTTATTACACACCTCTGGAACAGATGGGGCTTGAACTGAGCCTCCCAGCCCAGGGGTAGGGACATGCCACTGCACCACAAGAGGGCCCTACCGACACACTGTTAGATGTAATTAGAGATTGGAGGCTGTTGCTGTTCAATTTAGTGAAAAAGCAATTTTACAGCATGTTTTGTGGCACAGAGGCAGCATCCCAACCTCTAAGTGAGAAGACTCAGGTTCCACTCCTACCTACTCTCCAGGAATGCCTTAATAGGCTGCATTAGATCGGGTGCTCTTACCTCTGGGTTCAAATACAATTTGTCACAGAAGTGAATCATAATACACCAGACACAGGCTGATTTCATAGAATCCCTACAGTGTGGAAACTGGCCATTGGTGCATTGAATCCATACTACCCTCCAAAGAGCATCCCTCCCTGTTATCCTACATTTCCCATGGCTAATTCACATAGACCACACATACCTGAACTCTACGGGCAATTTAGCATGGCCAATCTGCACATCTTTGGACTGTGGGAGGAAATCAGAGCACCTGGACGAAACCCATGCAGACACGGGGAGAATGTTTGCGGAGCAGACTCGATGGGCCGAATGGCCTAATTTCTGCTCCTATGTCTTATAATGTGCAAACTCCACACAGGCATTCCCAAGGATGGAATCAAACCTGGGTCACTGGAGTGGTGAGGCAGCAGTGCTAACCACTGAGCCACTGTGCCACCCAACTTAAAAGCCTTCACCCTTTAAATAGAATGAAACCGATCACTAAATCTTACACCTACTTCAAGAATTCACCCATAAAGAAATGTTTGCAATGATTTGCTGGGCAGTGTGCTGGAGATGTTCTAAAATTTCTACCAAACCCTATTCCGTTTTGTGCTAATTATCAGAGTGAGTTCAGGAAGTAAGTTGCAAACTATTTAAATTGATTCTGCCTAGTCTTTTACCTATCAAACTTTACAGCAAAAGGGCCCTGTTTCAGATGAGAACTACCTGGGTTACCCTCCCTAACAAGAGAGAGGGAGAGAGAGCATGTGTATGTGGACACACAAGGACTGCAGCAGTTTAAGGAGGCACCTCTCCATCACCTTCTCAACCCATGAAAGAATCATGTTTAAAAGCAATTGTGGGAGGTGACAACGTTACAATGCCATGTTAGTCATGTTCGTGTTTGTGGGTGTGTGCACTCAGAGGTGAACATGCCCATGTCTGTGCTGTCAGATCAGTACAGGAACAATCACAACATCATATGAGCAAATTGGCCAGGTAATGTCACAGTGATGTTTTCCTTCATGCATCATTGATTTCAGTCTTACTAGCTAATGTATCATCTACCTTGTGCCAGTGGCTTTTTCATTTGTGAATAGGTTATTCCTTTGCAAGGGGAGGCCATGGTGGAGGGGGAACGTCATTGGCCCAGTAATTCCCAAATGCCAGGCTAATGTTCTGGAGACATGGGTTTGAATCCCACAATGGAAGATGGTGAGATTTGAATTCAATAAAACAAAAGTCTGTAAGTAAAAGCTAAACTCTGGAGGACTATGTAATTGCTGTTATAAAAATCAATTTACTTCGCTAAAGTCCTTTAGGGAAGGAAGTCCATCATCCTGGGCTGGTTTCCATTTGTGTTCAGGCCCACTGCCGCCTCTACAATGAGGGATAGGCAATAAATGCTGCCCCACCTAGTGATACCCACATCCCATTACAAATGAAAAACATACTGCTTTTTGATAGCACTGTTGATGACACCTTCTATCACTTTCCTGATGATCAAGAGTAGACTGATGGGGCAGTAAATTAGCTGGGTTGGATTTGTGCTGCTTTTTGTGTACAGAACATACCTGGGCAATGTTCCACATTATTGTTGTATCAGTTACAACACCGAAAGAACCAGGCTAGGAGAGCAGCACATTCTGGAGCACAAGTCTTCAGTACTATCGCCGGAATATTGTCAGGGCCCATAACATTAGCAATATCCAGTGCCATTCATTAATTGACATCATGTGGAGTGAACTGAAGTAGCTGAAGACTGGTATCTGTGATGCTGGGGACCACCGGAGGAGGTCGAGATGGATCACCCACTCGGCACTTCTGCCTTAAGATTGCTGCGAATGCTTCAGCTTTATCTTTTGCACTGATGTGTTGGGATTCCCCATCATTGAGGATGGGGGTATTTGTGGATCCGCCTCCTCCAGTGAGTTGTTTAACTGTCCACCACCATTCATGACTAGATGTGGCAGGACTGCAGAACTGATCTGTTTGTTATGGAATTGCTTAGCTCTGTCTATCACTTGCTGCTTGGCACACAAGTAGTCCTGCTTGGTAGTTTCACCACGTTGATGCCTCATCTTCAGGTATACCTGGTGCTGCTCCTGGCATGTCCTCCTGCACGCTTCATTGAACCAGGGATGATTGCCTGGTTTGATGGTAATGGGTGAGGGTGGGATATACTGGGCCATGAGGTCACAGATTGTGCTAGAGTACAATCTGCTGCTGTTGATGGCCCACAGCGCCTCATGGATACCCAGTCCTGAGTTGCTAGATTCATTCAAACTCTGTCCCATTTAGTACTGATAGTGCCACACAACACAATGGAAGTTATTCTCAATGTGAAGATAGGACTTTGTCTCCACAAGGACTGTGCGGTGGTCACTCTTACTGATACTGTCAGGCACAGATGCATCTGGTGAGAGTGAGGTCAAGTATGTTTTTTCCCTCTTGTTGGTTCCCTCATCACCACCCACAGACCCAGTTTAGAAGCCATGTCCTTTAGGACCCAACCGGCTCAATCAGTAGTGCTGCCATCGAGTTGCTAGTGGTGGTGAACATTGAAATGCCCCACCCAGAGTACATTTTGTGCTCTTGCCATCCTCAGTGTTCCCTCCAAGTGTTGTTCAACATGGAGTGCTGATCATTGGCCAAGGGAGGATGGTACATAGTGATCAGAAGGAGGTTTCCTTGCCCATGAGAGTTCGTGGGGTCCAGAATCAATGTTGAGGGCTCCCAGGGCAACTCCCAGCTGACTTTATACCACGGTGCTGCCACCTCTGCTGGGTCTGTCCCATCTACTGATGACCATGTAACCATTGCTCAGGGAAAAACCCATCTGATTCACTAATGTCCTTTAAGAAAGGAAACCTGCCATCCTTACCTGGCCTGGCCTACGTGTGACTCCAGACCTACAGCAATGTGTTTGATTCTCAACTGCCCTCTGAAATAGCCTAGCAAGCCACTCAGTTGAATCAATCGCTACAAAGTCTCAACAAAGAAACAAAACCAGGCTGATCATCTGGTATCGACACAGGCGCCAGAAATGACAGCCCTATTGACCCTCCTTACTAACATAAAATCATAGAATCCCAACAGTGTAGATAAATGCCATTTGGCCCATCGAGGCTGCACTGACCCTCCAGGGAGAATACCACCCAATGCCTGTAACCCCATATTTACCACCTAATCTGCACATCCATGGACACTACAGGGAAATTTAGACCAGCCAATCCATCTAAACTGCACATCTTTGGACTATGGATGGAACCGAGAGCACCCAGCAGAAACCCACACAAATACAAGTAAAACATGCAAAATCCACACAGACTATCACCTGAGACTGGAATTGAAGCCAGGTCCCTGGTGCTGCAAAGTAGCAGCACCGCCAATTCTGGCAGCTGGTGCCAAAATTGGGAGAGCTGTGTCACGGAGTAGTCAAGCAACAGCCTGACGTAGCGGTACTCACAGAATCATGCCTTGCAGACAATGTCCCAGATACCACCCTCACCATCCCTGGATATGTCCTGTCCCACTGGCAGGACAGACCTAGCACAGGTGGAGACACTGTGCTATATGGTTGGGAGGGAGTTGCCCTGAGAGTTCTCAGCATTGACTCCAGATCCTAAAGGACATAGCTGCTAGACTAGGTCTGTGGCAGGTGATGAGGGAACCAACAAGAGGGAAAAACATACTTGACCTCATCCTTACCAATCTGCCGGCTACAGATGCATCGGTCCATGACAGTATTGGTAAGAGTGACCATCACACAGTCCTTGTGGAGACAAAGTCCTGCCCTCACAGAGAATACCCTCCATCATGTTGTGTGGCACTATCAACGTGCTAAATGGGACAGACTTCAAATAGATCTAGCAATGCAAGGCTAAGCATCCACGAGACGTTGTGGGCCATCAACAACAGCAGAATTGTACTCCCACACAATCTGTAACCTCATGGCCTGGCATATCCCCCACTCAACCATTACCATCAAGCCAGGGGATCAACCCTGGTTCAATGGAGAGTGTAGGAGAGCATGCCAGGAGCGGCACAAGGCATATCTACAAATGAGACATCAACCTAGTGAAGCTACCAAACAGGCTTCACTATGTGGCAAACAGCATAAGCAGCAAGTGACAGACAGAGCTAAGAAATCCCACTTAGGATCAGCTCCAAGTTCTGTAGACCTGCCACATCCATTTGTGAATGGTAGTAGACAATTAAACAACTCACATGGAGCAGGTTGCTCCACAACTATCCCCATCCTCTATGACAGAAGAGCCCAAAACATCAGTGCAAAAGATAAGACTAAAGCATTCATACCAATTTTCAGCCAGAAGTGCCGAGTGGATGTTCCATCTTGGCGTCCTTCAGTAGTCTCCAGCATCAGGTGCCAGCCTTCAGCCAATTTGATTCACTCCATGTGATGTCCAGAAATGGATGGAGGCATTGGATATTGCAAAAGCTACAGGCCTTGACAACATTCCAGCAATAGGACTGAACACTTACACTCCAGAACTTGCTGATCCCCTAGCCAAGCTCTGTCAGTAGTTACACACTTGCATCTACCCAATAATTTGGAAAATTGCCCAGATATGTCCTGTACACAAAATGCAGGACAAATCCAACCCAGCCAATTACTGCCATAGTCTCCTCTTGATCATTTGTAAAGTGATGGAAAGTGTCATCATCAATGCTATCACGCAGCACCTGCTCAGCAATAACCTCTGGACTGCCCCCAATGCTAGCCTACCTTTCTTTAGTAAAGGGATTCAATACCGTTCACAGTATTCCAGCTGCAATCTGACTAGCGTCTTGCATAGTTTTGGCAAAACCTATTTTTAGAATAAACACAAAGAGAAATTGCTTGAGTAAATCAGCAGTCTTATGGTACCTCTCAGAAAGAAAACAGAATAGATATTTCAAGTCCAGGAACCTTTCTTCAGAACTGATACCAGCAAGAAGGTATGTAGACTGATGATGGATTTTGGGAAGGGAGTGGTAAGTGGATAAGTGGAGATGAAGCCCAGAGACAGTGGACTGGGCGAATTGATTATTAGGGTTGGCAGTAAGCAAGCAGTATTGGACATTAAAGGATGTAATTGCTCCACATTCCCACCTATCTTGATAGCTCTTGCTTATCAAATTTTCAACAAACCTAACGGCACACAGTCAGATTTTTCTCCCACAATGAAAGAGGAAAGAAAAAGGCAGGGCATGTATTTATATGGTGCCTTTTATTATTTCAGGACATCCCAAAGTGTTTCACAACCAGTAAAATACGACTAAAGTGAAGTCACTGTTGAAATATAGGGAATGTGGCAGCCAAATGTACAGCACAGTCCCACAAATTGCAATGCAACAAGAAGCAGATACCGTCCTTAAAGGACAGAACTTTATTTAAAATGTATACAGAAGAAACGGTGTTGAAAGTCAGGAAACATTCATTTTGCCCAGGAAGTGGAAAAAGTCCACCTGAACAACTCGAGGGTTGCGGGGGGGAAATGACAACATTTTGATCATTAAAATAGCAGGAAAACCCAGTAAATAGTACAGATACAGACTATTGCAAAGCAACACCCTTTAAAAGACTGGAAACGGTAAGTTACTACAAAGAGCTAGTTCATAGAATTTAAAGCTTTATTGAAGAATGTAACACAGTATTAGAGCAATACAGTGTAGAAAAGACTTGCCACAAAGAAAACACCATACAGACTCTAGCAAACTATACAGGTGTATTAGTTAAAAACAGAATTCTTGAATGCAAGAATATAAGCTTAAAGAACAATAGATTATAAGCAGTATTGAAATGCTACAGGTTTAAAATGGTTTTACAACATTAACAATTAAGAGCTTTGAGAATGAATGGAAAGAGAGATAATACTTCCTCCGAGATTTGAGTTCAGATACAAACAATACAGATCACACAAGGCTGCGTATCTTGGAGGCACTACCTCAAAATTAAACACTGAAGCTAAGTAAGTTAATACATGATGCATTCAATAGTGGGAAACTGTGAATATGAAGCCTCGAAAATCAGAACTCATTACAGACAGAATTGTTGCTGGATTTTATTTTAGACAAAACTTTGTCAGATTCCTGTAGTCCAAAGAAGATTTAACTTTGGAGAAAGCTATTTAAATTGGGCTGGAAGCAGAAACCAGGAGATCTCCCAGGTAGATCCTCAGACAAAAAGTCCAACTCTACTTCAAGAGGGCAACAGAATAGGTTGTTCAATGATGGACATCCAGAAGATTAAATGACCTCCCGGCGATGTTGTCAGACAACTACCGAGTTAACAGGAAAAGTATTCTGTGACAGTTTTTCAGGATAATTGATTGATGGACCATTGACAAGATCTAAAGGAACAACATCCTCTGCAAAGGGCACTCAAGGGATAAATGATCCTTCCAGGGAGAAATGATCCATGGATCAAAATTATAGTGAATAACCTCAATTGGAAAACCTAACATTGTCCTGAGCCTGAAGAAAGACTAGTTTGGGAAAACTGTAAAACCATCTGCATTTGTGAATTCAGACACTTGGGGGAGATGGGGTATTGGTGAATGTTAAACCATTTATATACATGATTGTATAATAGTTAACAATGGGGTAAATTTTGGGGTGGAGATGTTATCTAAGGTGCTGAAGGAGTTATTATTAGCTCATGCCCACATTCTCCACTTGATTTTTATTTTCTGTGCTACACTGAGCTCCACTCATTCTGATGATCTCTCAGTTTTTGGGTGGAAATGCTCAAGGCCTCTACAGGTAATTGTAGAGAACAGATTTATTCTATACAGCTCCCGAGAGTCTTAGTAATTACTCCTGACTAGCAACACCAGTTGTACCAGCTAGTTAACTATGAAAAGTGCTTCTTCTGTAAAGGCTGTTCAATGGTCTACCTTCTGCCAATGATAAACAGACCCTGGACACAAAATACACAAATAAAGGTTTGCAGCAAACTATCTTAAACACCCCTTATCCTATACCACATACTATCAGAGATGGCAGATACATTAAGATGCTAACAGTGGCAGTGGTGCAGATTAAAATTCAATGCCCAATACCACAATCCTTTTGGACTAACACCCCTATCATCGTCAGAGGCAAAAAATATTGTCAGCAAAGTGCAAGGCACAGAAGCAAGCCATTGGCACATCAAGTCTCCGTGGGCAAAGTTTGTAGTTTCTGACACAGATTGAGAGAAAACAGCAACAGCGATTAAAAACCAGAACTTCTGGGGAAACTGAACCAGCTTTTAAATCATATTAAAAGAACTCTTGGGAATGCTGAAGGCTAGACCCCAAAGCTGAGAACAAGCAAATTTACAATTATTGCAGCCATTTCTGTTACTTGCACTTAACATGGCCTGGATGCCATAGATGCAACAAAGATTCTGTAGATGTGTAATGTTTTTGAAGAGGACCACTTGGAATTTGAGTTGGTTATGCACTGTTCAACAAGGCTATCCTCTAAGGAAGGGAGTGAAATACTTCATAAGGAAAACATTGTCCTTAAGGACTTTGCCATTGAGTTTAATGATCTGTGCTAAGTAGACGGCTGAGCATAAGATGTGCAGTTTATAAATGTCCACAATTTTCCTGTTCATGTTTAAAATGTTGATTCTGGGTTTCAGAGACAAGGAAAGCACCCAACACAGTATTTTTAGTGCTTATTTTGTTTGACAGGTACAGTAAAAATTCTTATTTAAACCTATTACCCATCGACCACAGTTTGCAAACCCTGCTGCTCTTTCTAGCCATACATTCTGTGATGAATTTCTTACTTTAACGACCTACATAAATGTAAGCTGCTGCTGTTGTATATTGTATTCCTGGAAGGACCATCTTTCTGAACCGTATTACACTTTTAGAAGAAATCAATCCTGACATTTTGCTTAGGTTTTCATAACAATTGATGCTCATTTAGGAAATGAATCACTTTGAACTCATAATCCCAAAGGACTATAATTATCCATTTGGCTCCTCTCAATCTGCGTATCGCGCAATAATTTTCACAGGCAGTTTACTAATGATAGTGGTAGCCATCAAACTTGATGGCCTTAATAAAAGCAACTCTCAGATATAAACAGAAACAGGAGCATGAACAGGATGTGGGCAGACAAATTTTATTTATGCATTAACTCATCATAATGGAGAGATTTTAGGGATACACGTGTGCCTGTTGATGACATTCATCTCAAATCCAGTTGCTCACCATAGAACAAAAGATACTTAATGATAGAAATTACAGTACCTTCAATGAGAGATTATAACCTTTCCTGCAGAACTGTAATACATGTCAGATCTCAACAACCACTATTTTAAAGATAAAATTTCACATCACTCCAGAACTTACATCATTGTAGTTTGAAAATAGGAGCCTGAGATTAGAAAAACGGAGATTGAATTCCTTGGAACAAGAGATTGGACCTGGAGAATAAGCTCCTCACCAGGAGCTTGTTGCTGGGCATGGAGACAGTTATATAAAGCCAGAGAAATGAAGATTTGAAATGAAATCTGGAGTCCATCACAAGATGCAAGAAGTGATCAGAAAGGATAAGGATTGGGAATTGAAGGTGAAAAGAAGCTGTGGTCTCAGTACTGAAGTTGGTGTAGTTCAGAGGTGAAAGTCAGGGTTATAGACTGGAATGGGAGCCATGCTCCAGATGGAGATTGGACAGTGAAATGGAGCTTTAGATATGCTACTCATCAAATGGGAAATTTAAGCTGGTTAACCTTTTCAGGAGTTTGGTGTTGGTAAAAGAATTCAATCCAATCTTAAAAATTTTGTCGTTGTCATAGTCATTTTTTAAAAAGGACTCACCAAAGGCAACTGTTGCTTTAAGACGAATGCCTGTTGCAAGCTCACAGTAGTGAGATCAAGAGGCCAGAGCCCTCTGTTACAGTGTGACTGACCAAACGGCTCTGTGGAGGTGTTTGCTATCAGGATGCCCAGTCATTAATTCAAATCAGATGCAGGCCAATAGGACAAAACAGCCGGGCTAGCAGCAGGGGGACAAGGTTGTGCAGGAAGTGACGGGTCAAGATTTATCACACACCAGTGACATTCATTTGCAAATCTGACTCTTAAAACGAATGAATGGAGTTAAGATGGTTGGTACATACAAGAGGTTTAAGCCTTTTAACATAACACCAGATTAATGTCACTCCCAGCAATACAAGTACACCACACATCCCAGCTTACCACTGTGCAGTGGCTTTTGCTTTCCCTGTCACCAGACAAAAAGGTAATTCTGTCCTTCACCCACATACTACTAATCTTCAACAGGCTTCGCCTACACTTTATAACAAACAGGCCGACCTGTTTTATACAGTAGGTTGCACAGCATGTCAAAGATTTCCAGATCCCAGTCCGCAAGTTCAGGCAACATCAAATCGGGCTGGAGAGGATCATCAGCTCCTAATTCATCCAAACTTAAAAGACCAGTAAAAAACCACCATTAAAAGACAGTTCAACCAGCTCAGGAGCAGACACTAGTTTGGTCGTGGGTTTCTCCAGTCCCCGTCTCAGTAAACACAACAATTTCAGATGGGTGGGACTCCACGCAATCTGCGAATCACGTTAGCAATCTTCTTTGCTACCCCACCACTGGGTTCCACGATCTGGAAGGTCCTTGTGAGGAGATTGTAGAAGGAGCCATAACCAACTGCCACCACAGTGCAGGTGAGGCAGATGACATTGTAGGGCATGCTGAAATCAGGTGTGGGCAAATTCACCAGCAAGGCCTCAGTGTACAGCCTGACAAAGTAAACTGAGGCATCGACAGATGGAAACCTGAAACAAAAACAGACATTTCACAGATGATAAGAAATGGTTCTTCCAAAACTAATAGTCTACAAATGATGCTCTACATTATTTCCAGAGTTGCTTTTATATTTATGTAGAAGTATCAACAAATTCTGGACAATTGTAGAAACGAAGGAAATCTGACAGTAAGTCTTCTCACTCCAGATGTTGTTTGTTACTATAAATGAAAAACTATCTTTAAAAGGAAATAAGGAACAAAGCCAGTGTGTCACCAGCAAGGCCAGCTCTCACTGTCCATCCCAAATTCCCCTTGACTTGAATGGTTTATTTGGCCATTTTCAAAGGGCAGCTAAGAGTTAACCACATCGCTGTAGATCTGGAATCACATGTAGGCCAGATTGAGTAAGGACCTAGTGAAACAGATGGGTTTTTACTATCACTGACGATAGCTTCATGGTCACAGTCAGGAGTGTTTCTATTAAAGGCTAATCAGCTCTGTGACATGCTGTCAAACTCGTCAAACTCATCAAACACCCACAACAAACATCCCCCCTCCACCAGGGCTCACAGCAATGTGTTATTTTTTTTCCAACACTCAACCGTGCTTTGAATTTTTTTTTAGAAAAAGCCCCACATATCTCACAAGATCTCAGTTGAAAACTGGAGAAAAGCAAACACAAGGATCATAAAATAATTTGAATCCCTTATACTTACAGCCTGGTGAGAAGAGGTGTGACCTTAGTGGTGTTCATTTCCACATTTATTCTGCTCGGCACCATAGCACTCAGCACAGAGGAGCTACAAAGAAAAAGAAGCCAATAAGGAAAAAGCCAAACACAGCACTGACAGTCTGCAGTGTCTTATTTAACTGCTACCCTGACATGCCCCTTTAAAATTACTGTTCAAGTATTCCATACTAAGTAATTTTATCTGCATTTATACCATTACAGTTAAAAATGAATAAATCAGTTGCAAATTTCAGCCTCTAGCTCAGGACAACGAGACAGAATGCTCAGTTGTCTTTCTTTTTAACATTTTTATCTGTAACACTGTGCAACACATAGAATACAACAAACAGAAGCTAGACATGAAACTGCTAATCATTCCTCAAGGAGAGCACATGTACCTTGCTAGTTGGAGGACACACTGCTGTATAACAACTGGATCACATATTATCAAGGGCCTTACTCAGTGACTGAATAAGTGAAATGACATTTTTATTGCAGGATACTCGAGAATTAATTCTGATTCCGGATTAGAGAATAAGGGACAAAACTGTATAATTCAGAGAAAAAAAATGTCTTTTAGTCCACATGGATTTCTGTCATTCCTAAAACTGGTGGATATTGATTCTTTTTATTTGGCAGCCCTGGAAGGAATCCATCAGACTCGACTCAACTGCAGGCAATTCTGTGCTTTGGCAGTATTGAGCAGGTGTTCCTGGGGTTTAGAAATAATGTGGTAGGAATTCTAAAGATTGGAAACACACAGAAGGAGGTGAAGGGAAAGCCTGAAGCTTAGCAGAACTGGAAGGGATGACTGAAACAAGGCTGTTCCGACCTAGGACCTCTAACATGTAGAAGGACAAAGGCAGCAGACTTATGTGAACCATCAACTGCAAGTCATATACCACACCAACTGGTAACTGCATCTCCTTTCTTTGAAAGTCATTGCATCAATATCCCAAACTCTCTTGCTAATAGAGCCTGTATGTACACCCAATGAGCTGCAGTAGTTCAAGGATGTGGCTCACTACCATCGTTGCAAGGGCAACTAGGGATGAACAACAAATGCTGGCTTTACCAAAACTGTATGAGAGAACATTAAAAAAAAGGCGGGTTTTGACTCACTGATGCCTTCTGGATTCTGGCAGTATCAAAGACAGTGACCAGCACTTGCAGAAAAACACACATTCAGGCTGGTAAATATCTTTGCAAATTTTAAATTTGAGATTTTGCAATTAGCTTCTGAACATGTCTACATTGCTCTGTCTCTGTCTCTCTCTCTCGCTTATATACATATATCTTAATTAGAAGGCTTGTGCTTTCTAATTATCTACAAAGTGCAGGTGAAGATAAACAAAGTCTGTTTGCCTGAGAAGCTGACAAGACTCAGTTCGTATAAAAGCTCGATGCTGGAGGTCTGAAATAAAAGCAGGAAGTGCAGTAGAAACTCAGCAGGTCTGGCAACATCAGTGCAGAGAGAAAAAAAGTAAACATTCTGAGTCTGATACAACTGCTCTTCCATTTTATTTGCTTTAGCTACCCTGTTCATTTTTACTTTTTATTTTATTTTGAAAGGAATGGACTCAAATTTTACAGCCAACCTTTGAGCATCAGGACGGATGTACGCAGTCTGCCTCCTCCAGATTTAGCTGACTGTAGAACTGTCAGCTGGGGGAATGAGCACTCAGCAAGGCATCAAGCAGTATTTGCTAACTACATATCGAGCAGGCAGCCTTTCTATTGTCAATGGAAGTCTGTCCCTCCTAAAGGGAAGCTCACTGAATTATAGAAGACTGCTGCAGGATTTTATTGCAAGGAAGTGGAACACCCAAGACATAGAGCTCCATGTACATTGATGTGTAACTTAATGACAGAAATGAAAACAGGAGACACACCATGGTTCTGCAAAAAGCCCCTCAAGGAACTGTGGGTATACCTAAGCAACATGAACTGCAATTATCGAGGGAAGCAGCTCATAATCACTTTCTCAAGGAACAGGGAACAAACATTGGTTATACCAGCCCATGTCCTATGAAAAAAAATTTTAAAAGACTTCCTGCTGAAGGGTTTGGAGGCAGGTGGCTAGAGAGGTCAGTTACTGGCGTCGGACCCCATCACTTGCGCAGCAAAATGCTTAATTATAAAATCATAGAACTGTTACATCACAAGAGACCATTCAACCCAGTGTCCCATGCTGGCTCCTTTCAAGAGTAGCTCAGCTGGTCTCACTCTCAGGCCTTCTTCACATAACCATGCAAACTTTCTCTTTTCAACTGTTTATCCAATTGCTTATGAAATGACCACAAATTGATTGTCAAGGTCAGTGAATGCACCTTAACACAGAACAGTACAGCACTGGAATAGGCCCTTCAGCCCATGATGTTGCGCAGAACATGACGCCAGCGTAAACTAATCCCTTCTGCCTGACCTTAGACCATATCCCTCAATTCCTCACATACTCATATGTCTTATCCAAAAGCCCCTTAAATGCCCCTACCATTTATCTCTCCACCACCACTCCAGCAACACGTTCCAGACTCCTACCACTCTGTATAAATAAAATTTGCCCCTTTGAACTCCACCCCCCCCCCCCCCCCCCCGCCACCTTAAATGCTTGCCCCCTAATATTAGGCATTTCAACTCTAGGAAAAAGATTCTGAACAACAACCCTAACTAAGCATCTTGTAATTTTATAGGCTTCTATCAAGTCTCCCCTCAGCCTCTGCTGCTCCAGAGAAAACAACCTGAGTTTTTCTAGCATCTCCTTATAACTCATACCCTCTAATCCAGGCAGCATCTTATGACAAGATGGTGACAGAGTTGGATGCTCCATGTAGAGCTCCTCTGCTCCGCCTGTTCTTTTTGTTTCTTCTTTCTTCCTCTCTCTTTTTAGCAATCCTGGAGTGGGGCGAGGGGGTAAACCCGGGCCCCGGAGCAGGGCGAGGGGGAACCCGAGTCCCGGAGCAGTCCCAGAACAACCTTTTCACTGTACTCCTTTACTGGAGAACATGTGACAATGAAGGATATTCTATTCTATTCATCCTGGTAAACCCTCTCCAAAGCCTCCACATCCTTCTTGTAATGTGGTGACCAGAATTGAATGCAACACTCTTAAGTGTGGCCTATAAAGCTGCAACATGAAATCCTGACTCTTATACTCATTGTCCCAACCAATAAAGGCAAGTTTGCCATATGTTTTCACGCAGTCTCACACTTTCCCTCATTGAACATCAAACCCCGGAGGTTTTGCATTTCATTTTTCCCAATTAGTTTCTTTCCCTTCTTTTGTTTCCAAGATACAAATTGAAATTACACCCTGAACACAAACTGAGCAGAACAATATCCAGATTTCACTGTATTTCTACCTCCTTACCCCACATAGAAGCCATGGTTGGGATCAGGGGGGTACTCGGTCCACTTCAACAGTGCTCTCTCAAACTCGATGCCAATCTTGGTGACAGATTTAGCAGGCAGCTGAATCAGCATTTCCAATAGATGAGGGCATTCTCGGTCTTTGGCTGGCTGGTAATGGATATAACCTGTTATCAAAAAAGGCAGGGAATGAGGAGTTGTTAAGGTGCAGCCAATTGTTTATAACATTGCTTATTATGAAAACAGTAGTACAGTACCCTAATGAAAGTAGGATAGCAGCTTAGGGAATGGGTAATAATTTCTGTTTTTCCAGTAACAATCAATAGCAAGAAAGATTGTTTATTATATTCTTGAAACTAGGGTTGGAGAAAGGGAAATTTTAATATTTATCCCTTGGGCAATAAATACATACAGCATATCAGTCAAATGTCTCACCGCTAAGGCAGAGTGATTAGCCTTAACAAAATATAGTCACCATGCAAGCACAGAAGCTGCCCACTGTGTCAACTGGTCACAACAAGGGGTCAGGTTGCAGGAAGCATCTGCACATAATGACAATGTTGCCATGTTCCATGCACATAGTACTGCTGACAAGTTGTCGTACAGACAAGGCAGGAGGGAGGCAGGTACTGGGAGTGGGAATGTTTAAAAACTTGCCCCATGTTATCCTCCTGAAATTCAAAGTCAAAAATCTGATGAGAACAATAAACAGCAGCAATCAGTAGGGAGCAGAGAAGAACTTATTCAGTGGTTAAGAGCCAAGAGGCTAAGTATGACGGGAAAGTATTAAATGGCATAGATTAGACAAGCTCAAAACACCTTTTCAAAGTAATTTCACAGGGGGTAAACAGAAATTAGTGAAAAATAATTTTGCTATATACATCATGATAAATCTATTAATGGGACGGTTAGAATGGTCGATTAGATAGGAGAACAGAGGCAGAACTTTTGTGAGAATCAAAAACACACAACACTATATCAGAAGAACTACTGCACTTTGAAAATTAATTTTACTGGGCTCAACACCTTTGTTCCTACCTCTTGTATTAATTGTCATATGTATTTGAGCTACTGTCTACGATACTATGATACTGTTCCACTGGTTGGCTCTTGGTGGAGCTACAACCTCTCGTGGCTCCACAGCGCCATCTCAAGCTGGTACAAATTACAATTCTGAATACAGGTGGTGAGGAACAGATATTCACCCCATCCTGAGGGGGAAGAAAGATGGCTTGGAAGAGTAAGAGAATGAGAAAGTAGGGGATGAGAAAGGAGAGGTAAGCAAGCAGCTCTTACTTGGTTTATTGTCTTTGCCCTTGGTGGTAATGGTGAGTGTGTGGATGTAGAGTCGAAGGTACCAGGGCACAATCTCCATCAGCAGCACTGGGAATGCCCGGTATGGGTGATAATTGTAGATCAGTGTGTTGATTTTACCTGTTTGGAGGCCAAAGCCACTCACATATCTCTTTGCGTTAAATACAGGCACTTCAGGTATCGCTGCACCAAAAGTAGAAAGAACAATCAACAAATCATTGTATAATAGCTGGAGAGCACTCATTAATGTTTAGAACAACCCAAAAAAAAACAAAGCCTCATCTTATGCAGCTAATGCATATTGATTTAAAAGCAATATAATTTCCTAATACCGCAACTGTTAAGATATAGCATTCCAAATTCACCTCAAGCTTTAATCACTTAAATGTCCCCATTATGACGTAATGGAGTCCAACAGTTAGCATGTGGATCTCTGTCTGACTTTCTCTGGTCATTCTCTCTATATAGAGAAAAGTATCTCATTACCACTGGGGTGAAATTGAGAAATGAGAAACGTACGGCTGAGGTTTCAGCACATCACACTGGATCATTTATCGTTAATGGTGATACACACTGGAATGGATTTTAGGGAGGCATCAATAGTTTTACCTGCTAGCTGGACAGCAAACAAGAGAGCTATATCACTCTCTATCGGTGTTAAATGCCTGTGTGGCACATAGGGAGGACCCCAGGGCAGGAATCCTGCCTACCATGAGCTGCTGGCCAATTATTTACCTGCAGCTACACCCGGAAGACTGTGGCTGTGGCCAGAACACCCATTGAAGGCCCAGGATCAAGGAACAACTCAGGCTACAGGGAAGGCTGCAAGGCACACAATAACACAGTGGTTAGCACTACTGAATCTCAGTGCCAGGGACGAGGGTTTGATTCCTGCTTTGGGTGATTGTCTGTGTGGAGTTTGCACAGTCTCTTCATGTCTGTATGGGTTTCTGCTGGGTGCTCCGCTTTCCTCCCACAGTTCAAAGATGTGTGGGTTAGGTGGATTGGCCATGATAAATGCAGGGTTCTGGGTGGGATACTCTTCGGAGGTTCGGTGCAGACTCGTTGGGCCAAATAGCCTGTCCTATGATTCGAAGTAACAGCAAGAGGGAATTTGTTTGGTGTGGCCGGGTTAAGGGGGTGTGGTGTGGTATGTAATGTGGACTGAAATAACTGAAATGGAACTGATCAATCTTCAGCTACACATTATGATTACAGTTGATTATGCATATTATTGTGAGAATGTATACAAGATGATGGAATTTAACCAAAATCGGTCATTGTTAAATTTGCCAGCTTGATCAACAATTAAGGAAGTCAAAATAGTGAAGGTTAATTCCCTTATGCAAGCAAGAGTTAAAATAGAAAATCAGTACAAAGAGTTCTGCATGCTGTATTCTTAAGGGAAGATACATAAATAAAACAAACCAGAGCCTATAATTATAAGGTCAAATATGGATCAGTTGTGATTGCAGGCACTCTAATGGTAGTAGTGTCTATGATTATCTAAACATGACCAGATGGATCTCATTCAGGTGAATTTTGAAACTCTTCCCCCATCTCATAGGTTATAACTATGGTCAGGGGAACAGGGAACTTTGAAACACAGTCAGTTCTGCTATAAAGATAGCAAGGACTGCAGATGCTGGAGTCAGAGACAACACAGTGTGGAGCTGGAAGAACACAGCAGGCCAGGCAGCATCAGAGGAGCAGGAAAATTGACGGTTCAGGTCGGGACCCTTCTCCAGAAATCTGCTATAGTGCGCGTTTATTCATCACGAATTGGCTTTAATGCAATTAAAGAATTTAGACCACTATTTGTAGAACACAAACTTCCCTTACCTTTATTGGCTATAATGCAATGCCGGCCCCATTAGTTTAAATGAGCAGCTATTGTGCAATTTTCTTATAATCCAAAATTGCACGAGAACAGAATTATCATGTTATATCAGAACTGACTGTAGGGTGGGAAAAACATGCCTGGATGATGCTCATTACATGTGGAATGCTAAGCTTCTTTGTAAGTTGTAAATATGTTCATCATATTTACGGACCATCAATTCTGAGCTTTCAGCACTCATTCTCCATTCAGGTTTTGGCATTTACATGTCAGACAGTATGACATTCAAGTACTTGTGGCATATAAAGACAAGTAAGGTGTCGTATTTAGTGTGTGCACAGCTAAAATTTGTCAGTCCAGTTTTCCTGTGCTTGTATTTACTCAAACCTAAGTTTCTGCATTTAACAGTATTACCATGTCCTAAATCTAAGAGTCAGTTTCAGGTTTTGGTTGTTACTAGAAAGATTAAGACTGAAATTCCTGTACAGTCAGGCTTCCCAAGACCATAAGAAATAAGAACAGTAGGCCATTTGGCCCCTCACCCTGCTTTACCATTCAATAGGCTTGTGGCTGATCTGACATTCCTCACATCCATTTTTGCCTATTCCCTATAACCCTTCATTCCCCTACTGATCAAGAACCTATCTATCTCAGCCTTACACATATACAAGGACTCTGCCTCACAGTTCTCTGTGGCGAGGAGTTCGAAAGAATCGTTATTCTCAGAGAAGAAATTCCTCCTCATCTTTGTCTTAAATTTGCACCCTTTTATTCTGAGACTATGCCCTCTGGTCCTAGACTCTCTCAAGAGGGGAAACATCCTCTTAGCATTTAGCCCATCAAGTCCCTTAGAATCCTGTATGTCTCAATAAGATCACCTCTCATTCTTCTAAACTCCAGTGAGTAGAGTCCTAATGCGTTTAGGTTTGATCATAAGACAATACCTCGATACCAAGGATCATCTTAGTGAACTTTCTCTGAACTGCCTCCAATTAAATGATATTTTCTGTTAAAATATGGAGAACAAAACTGCTCTCTCTACTCTAGGTGAGGTCTTACCAGCACCTTGTACAGTTGCAGTTAGACGGCCCTACTCTCTTCTCCAACCCCCTTGAAGTAAGGGCCAACATTCCATTAACCTTCCTGGTTACCTGCTGCACTTATATTCTAGCTTTCTACATTTCAAGTCCAGTTAAGCTTCTGGTCAATGGTAACCCCCAGGATATTGATTGTAGGAATTCAGTGGCAGTAATGTCACTGAACGTTTGGGGTCAACAGTTGGACTGTCTCTTACTGGAGATGGTTGTTATCTGGCATTTATGTGGTGTAAGTGTTACTTTCCAGCCCACATCTGGATACTGTCTGGGTCTTTTGCATTTGGACACTGACTGCTTCAGCCCCACATCTGACCTTATGATGGAGGAAAGGTCATTGATGAAGCAGCTGAAGATAGTAGGGACTAGGGCACTACCCTGAGGAATTCCTGCAGAGGTATCCCGGAGCTGAGATGACTGACCTCCAACAATTGTGACCATTTTCCTGTGTGCCAGGTACAACTCCAACCAGTGGAGAGGTTTCCCCTTGGTTTGTTTGTACAGTAAGCTGGAAGATGCTGCACCCAACCTCACTAAAAATGCCAAAAATCAAATGGTGTAATGGAATGTTTACAACATGAGGAATCGGATACAAAGGGATAAAAGTTATGTTTCAGCTATTGTACAGGTTAACCAGACCTGTAGATGTTTGGGCACTGCACCTTAGGCCTTGAAGAGAGGTGTATAGATTTACTAGAATACTGCAATGGTTAAGTGACAAGAAGCGATTTTAAAAAAAGGTGCATTCTCTGGAATTTAGAAGATTAAAGGGATAATTTTATTGGAGAACCAGTTGGGTAGATTGGGAAAAACTATTTCTGTAGGCTAGGATTGGGAACAAGAGGAAAGATTATGAGAAGTATGGGCAAGATGAATAGAAAGCAGCTATTCTCCTTAGTTGAAGGATCAATAACAAGCAGGCATAAGTTGACGGTGAAAAGCAGGAGGTTTAGAGGGGATTTGAGGAAAAATATATTCAGAGGGTGGAGGTGGTCTAAAATGCATGGCCTGGGAGGCAGGAAACTTCACAACCTTCAACCTGGATGAGTTCTTGAAATGTCACAATATTCAAGGCAATGGGCCAAGTGCTAGAAAGTGAAAGAGTGTAGATTTAGAGTAGTTTAGTTTCAATGAGCCAAAGAGTCTGTTGTATAATGTATGATTCTATGACGTGGGCACTACATTGTCTAAAATGAGAACCAAGGCTTTCAGAAGTGAAATTAGGAAACACTTCTGGTCATAAAGAGAAGACGACACGGAAATTTGCTCAGATTCTCTATAGACTCTATGCCAGTGTTCAGTCTACTGGAGGTTCCATCCCCGACTGTGCAGAGTCTAAGGTTCCAGTATTGTTTGTGTAAACAGCATACCAAAGTACTTACCAAACTGCTTGGACAATTTCCATTTTAATGCTATGTTTAAGGAGTGTGATGATGCACTGTAAAGATGAGGGTTCAGTAGGTTGTACACAGCATAGGATCTCCATTTCCCGTGCACCGTTGTGTTAAGCACAGAGGGTGCTGGTGGCATCAACTCTTGGGTGTCATTAATCTGGAAAGTTGAGAGCAGATTTTTGTTTTAAAGTCTTGTTTTCACAGAAAAGCTACTCAAACTAAACACTTTTCCATATCTTCATTCCATATGGAGAGGGAATGGCATAGTGGAATGTTCAGGTAAAGTTCTGGGGAGCCAGATTTGAATCCCGCCATGGCAAATGAAGGCATTTGAATTTAATAAAGACCTGGAATTAAGAGTTTAATGGTGACCATTAACCCATTGTTGATTTTAGGGCAGCATGGCAGCTAAATGGTTAGCACTGCTGCCTCACAGCACCAGGGACTCAGGTTCAATTCTACCCTTGGGCGACAGTATGCGCAGAGTTTGCATGGCTGTGTGGGTTTCCTCTGGGTGCTCTGATTTCCTCACAGAGTTCAAAGATGTGCAGATTAGCCAGGCTAAATTGTCTGTAGTGTCCAGACATGTGTAGGCTAGGTGGATTAGACATGGGAAATGCATAGTTACAGGGATTTGGGGTGGGATGCTCTTCAGAAAGTTGGTACAGACTCGATGTGCGAATGGTCTGTTTTCACACTGTAGGGATTCAATGGATATTCAGCAACTACATGCAGCGAAAGGATGGAATCAGAACCTGCTACTAACCTACAACCAATGATGTTTCTAACATCACTCTACTCTCTGCCTTACTGTTCCTCCTCTTAAATCATCTTCCACATCCAAGACAAATGCAGCCCCGAAGATACACATGGTCCAACTTGTACAGAGGATCATTTGGCTGATATCAGCCATGACAGCCATTGAGCTGACTTAACTCGGAATGGTTGGAAACTTCAGTGGCTGATTTGTACCAAATGATTTGTACTGGAAATCGACAACATTATGCATGCCCACCAGTAACACTCATTCCACTTAAATGACTGCCAATGCTGGCTAAACTCATATGCGAAGAACATCACTTCAGCTTTTGGCATGCAGGAATACCCCCAGCACTGCCATCACCCAAGAACCAAACCCCCAGCACTGCCAGTGAACTAACCTCCCAACCCCCAGAGAACCAAACACCCCACTGCCAGAGAACCACCCTCCTTTACTGCCATGCCACAGAACCATGGCACCCCCCAACCTAATAATCATCATCAGGGAATGAAATCCACACTCCACCACCGCCATCACCAGGGAACCAAACTCTTCAATTTGGATAGATCTGGAGAAGATTCAAACATGGATTGGAACCTGTTCTGTACCTTATCTCTGTCCGTGATGTCCACATAAATAGTACTTTGCGATGCTAAAGGGCACACCTCTGTCAAGGTCCGTGAAAACATCTTAAACAGTGACCACTCTGTAATACATCAACAATACAACAGAGTAAATGACATATGGCCTAGCAAAATTTAGAAACAGTCTCTGCTTAGTTATGGCACAAGACAGAAATTTCTGGAGACACTCACTATGTCTGGCAGCATCTATGGAGAGAAAGCAGAATTTGAATCCAATGACCCTTTTCTTCAGAACTGAACCAGTTTCTCCAGCAATTTGTTTTTGTTTCAGATTTCAGTATTTTGTTTTACTGTTTGCTCGTGTGCACGTTTAGGATTGAGAAATACATTGCTCCTATTCAGATTAACTTGTATTTCTATAGGAAATATGTACCTTTTGTACTTACTGTACCTTCAGGTTTTGAATTATTTTTGCAATCTTTGCTTGAACTCCTGGTAGATGAATGTGTGTATTCTAGACATCTAGTTCCCATGTCCTGAGTTCAGACTCTAAGAGGAATTGATGGTGTAAACAGCATTAGGGAAGTAAGGACCCATGTCCAAATTTGGTACCAGCTGTGATCAAAGGGATATATTTTGAAATGTATAGATCAGTGGACTTTGGAGCTTAAAATGAACAAGAATATCAATTATCCTGACTGACTGAAAGAAATGAACAGTGGGTTGTTTAGATGCTGAGGGCATCCTGTTCAAGGTCCATGATCATTAGCAAACAGACTAGCTAGATCAAAGTATGAATCCAATATAACAGCACAACAAGCCCTAGGCTGCAGAGAGTTAAAAAGTAAGAGGGGAGCATGGCATGGTAGTTCAGTGGTTAGCACTGTTGCCTCAGTGCCAGGGACCTGGGTTCGATTCTAGCCTTGGGCAACCACCTGTGTGGAGTTTCCACATTCTCGTCATGTTTCCTCCCACAGTCCAAAGATGTGCAGGTTAGGTGGATTAGCTATGCTAAGTTGCCCATAGCATCCAGGGATGTGCAGGCTAGGTAGTTGTAAATTAATTAAATCCCAACATTAGGAGATAGCAAGAACTGCAGATGCTGGAATGGAGTCAATACAGTGTGGAGTTGGAGGAACACAGGCAGCATGAGAGGAGCAGGGAAGTTGACGTTTCAGGTTTACACCCTTCAACAGTCAAATATCAACGTTCGAGGGTAGCACGGTAGCTCAGTGGTTAGCACTGCTGCCCCACAGCACCAGGGACCCAGGTTCAATTCCACCCTCGGGCAACTGTCTGTGTGGAGTTTGCACATTCTCCCCACGTCTGCGTGGGTTTCCTCTGGATGCTCCGGTTTCCTCCCACAGTCCAAAGATGTGCAGGCCAGATGGATTGGCCATGCTAAATTGCCCATAGTGTTCAGGAATGTATAGATTAGGTGGGTTATAGGGCAATCGGTCCAGGCGGGATGCTCTGTGTGTCAGTGTGGACTTGTTGGGCCGAAGGGATTTTATGATTCTACGATCTACGAGTGATTTGTTCTGCAGATTTGAAGACAACAACAAAGGAGTAGAAATGAAGAACAGAATGGCACAAATGACATTGGTGCTGATGATGGAGGAGGATGGTCTCAGGTTACAGTCTGATATTGATCACATGGTAAATGGGACAGAGCAGTGGCAGATGGAATCAAATCCTGATAAATGCAAAGTGATGCATTTCAGGTGGTCTAATAAGGGAAGGGCATACACAATGAATGGTAGGTACCTATGAAGCACTGTAGAACAACAGGACCTTGGTGTACAAGTCCGTAGATTCCTGAAGGTGTCAGCACAGGTAGATAGGCTGGCGAAGGCAGCATACAGGATGCTTGCCTTCATTAGCTGGGGTGTAGAATATAGGAGCAAGGAAAGCTTGCTACAACTTTATAAAACATTGGTTAAGCCACAGATGGAATGCTATGTACAGTTCTGGTCGCCACATTATTGGAAGGACACAATTACACTGGAGGGTGCAGCGGATATTCACCAGGATGTTGCCTGGGATCAAATGTCTCAGTTATGAGGACAGACTAGATAGGCTGGCATTGTTTTCCCTGGAGCAGAGGAAGCTGAGGGGTATTGATTGAGGTATACAAACGTACAAGTGGGTAGATAGTGAGAATCTTTTCCCATAGCAGAAGGGTCCAAGACCAGACAGCACAAGTTCAAAGTGAAGAGTAAATGGTTTAGAGGGGATCTGAGAAAAAATTCTTTCATGTAGAGATTAGCAAAAATATGATATGTGCCTTCTTGAGAGAGTGGTGGAGGCAGGTACCCTTGCAACATCTGGATGACTACTTAAAATGGCAGGACATTGTAGCTATGAACCAAGAGCGGGTAAATGGGAGGAGTGTAGTTTGGTGTTTATTGGTTGGCATCGACATGGTGAGCTAAAGGTCCTGTTTCTATGCTGTATGACTCTATGATAAGTTTCAAACCACAAGTAGCTATTAAAAGTCACTAGAAAGCAAGACCATCCGAGCTACAAGAGTGATTGCCTTCTAGTAAGTATAACTTTTGTTGTTTAAACAAGTGCCCTTATATAGAATCACGGAATTATTATGGGGTAGAGTGAGACCATTTGAATTTTTCTTTCCACATCACCCTTGCTTCGTTTGCACATCACTTTAAATATATGCCCTCTTGTCCTTTTTTTTGTTTACAACTAGAAACAGCTTTTCCCTGTCTACTCTATCCAGCTGCTCAGGAGATTTGATAGAGGTTTTCAAACTCTTATCTGCCTTCTTCTCTCTAAGGTGAACTGCACATTATGTGCAGTTTTGATCCCCTTATCTGAGGAAGGATGTTCTGGCTATCAAGGGAGTGCAAAGAAAGTTTACCAGACTGATTCCTGGAATGATAAGACTGACATATGGGGACAGACTGGATCAGTCAGAAACTGCAAGTTCTCCACCAGGCCACTCACCATCCTGACTTGGAAATACATTACTGCTCCTCCACTATTGTGGCACTAAAATCCTGGGATTTCTTCCCTAAGGGGTCTACCTACAGCACATGGACTGCAATGGTACAATAAGGCAGCTCACCAACACATTCTCAAAAAGTAACCAGGGACATAAAATAACTGCTCGCCCAGTCAGCGACACCCATACCTCACAAGTGAATAAAAAAAGAAGATTGAGGAGGTATCTTCTAGAAGCTTGCAAAATTCTAACAGGATTAGTCAGGGTACTTGCAGGAAGGATATTTTTCAATGACTGGAGAATCCAGAACCAGGGGTCACAGTCTTAAGGGTAAAAGGTAGGCCTTTTAAGACACAGAAGAGGACGAATCTCTTCACCTAGAGGGTGGTGAGCTTGTGGAATTCACTGCCATAGGAAACTGTTGAGGCCAAAACATTGAAGACTTTCAAGAAAGATATAGATATAGTTCTAAAGACTAAAGAGATCAAAGGATACGGGGAGAAAGTGGAAAGAGGATACTGAGATGGATGATCAACCATGATCATATTGAACAATGGAGCAGATTCAAGGACTGAATGGCCTACTCGAGCTCCTATATTCTACATATCTAATAGGCCCAACTTCTTCAATCTTTACTCATAGCCGAATTTTCTCATTCCTGGAAACTTCCCTGCAAATTGCTTCTGCATTCTCTCCAATGCATTCACACCTTTCCTTTAATGTGGCACCCACAATATTCCAGTTGAGGACTGATGTGCTGGCCTTGAAGAGTATCCAGAAGAGATTTACAAGAATGATCTTGGGGATGAAAGGCTTGTAATATAATGAGTAGTTAAGAACGCTGGGTGTGTACTCAATGGAGTTTAGAAGAATGAGGAGGGGATTTCATTGAAACTTAAAAATAGAAAAGCCTGGACAGAGTGGATGTAGAGACAATGTTTCCAGTAGTAGGAGGGCCCAGGACCAGACGGCACAGCTTCAGAGTGAAGGGACAACCCTTTAGGACTGAGATGACAAGGAATTTCTTCAGCGAGAGGGTGGCGAATCTGTGGAACTCCTGCCACAGAAGGCTGTGGAGGTCAAATCTTCAAGTGTTTTAAGACAGAGATAAATAGTTTCTTGATTAGTAAGAGGATCAAGGGTTCCAGGGACAAGACAGAAGAGTGGGATTGAGAAATATTTCAGCCATGATTGAATACTGCAGCAGACTCAATGGGCCATATGGCCTAATTCTGCTCCAAAATCCTACGGTCTTATGGTCCAAAATGGTCCATCTCAGGCAACATCATGGTGAATCTCCTCTGCAACCCCTCCAGTACAATCACATCCTTTCTATAGTGAGATGACCAGTATTGCACACAATTCTCCAGCTGCGGGCTAACCAAAGTTCAGTACAGCTCCAACATAAACTCCCTGATCTTATGATTTATGCCACAATTTATAAGGGTAAGTGTCCCATATGCCTTTTTACCCAAACTATTAACATGACCTGCTGCCTTCAGGGATCTATAAACAAGCACCCCAAGATCTCTGTTCCTCTCAGTTTCGTACCATCCTGCTATTTATTAAGTACACCCAGCCATATTTCTTCTTAGAAAGTGCTTAACCTCTCACTTTTCAGTGTTAAATTCCATCTGCCATTGATCTATCCATCTGATTAATCCGTCCATATCCTCCTATAACCTAAGATCTTCTTCCTCATTTTCAATCACCTGGCTGATCTTCACGTCATCCGAAAACATACTTACCATTTCCCTTACCAACACCCTCCACCCACCCACTGCAATAGTTTCTTCTACATCAATTATATGTATCACAAACAATAGGGGAGACCGCGGTCCAGTCACACAAACAGCCTTCTACCGCCAACCTCTGTCTCCTGCCACCAAACCAACTTTGGATCCAACTTGCCATGTTACTGTTTTATCTTCTTTAACATCTCCCATGTGAGAACTTTTCAACAGCTTTGCTGAAATCAATATAAACTACATCAACTGCGCTAAGCCCATCAATAGACCTGACCATCTCCTCAAAGCATTCAAATTTGTTAGGCATGACCTTCCTCTGCCAAAGCCAAGCTGACTATCCCTGGTCAAACCTTGCCTCTCCAAGTGGAGATTAATTCTCTCCTTTACAATTTTCTCCAATAACTTTCCTACTAATAAGTGACTCACTGGTCTGTAATTTGCAGAAAGAATGTTAATATTCCCAGTATATATCCTAAAATGTTGTGCTTGGCTCAGTTTGTAGTACCCTAACCCACCCCGTCTCAAGTCAGAATGTTGGGGGATCAAGCTCCACTCCAGACTTGATTCAATAAATAAGGCTTAACATTTCAGTATTGAGGGAGCTTTGCATATCATTCAGATGAAACATTAACCCAAGATCCCAGCTGTCCTCTCAAATGCAACTAGGCAAAGAAAAACAGAGAAGTTCTTCCCAGTATCCGCCATCAACATCAGAACAAAACAAAAATGTGGCCATTACCTTATTCCTCCATCAAAATAGTGACTAAATTCCAGAAGTACTTATTTGGCTGTAAAGCACTTTAGGAATTCTGAGAAAGATGTTACACAAGTGCTGTTTTTTACCCATTTTCACCCTTTGATAAAAAGCCCAGGTGCAAAACATAAAGCTGCCCTTTACCCTCAGAAAGAGGTTGTACTGTCTCATCCCAGCAAATTTTCTATCATTTCATATCTAATTTACCTACCTCGTTTACCAGAGCCAGAGGCATAGAGGTCAAAGACGACAGACAGACTCTGGGTCAGCTCCCAGGAGGTACTGGTACACAGTTCATTCTAGACAGGTAGCAAAGAATACATATTCTTCATATTAAGAATGCAAAAATATAAGGTGCACCAATTTTATAAACATTACAAAGACCTAAACAAATATACTCAAATTACATTTCATGAATTGGTAGCCAAACAAGACGTTAGTGGTTGTAGCCCATAGTGCTGGACAACTTCATTCTTCTGTTGACAGAATGGAATATCAAACAGGGAAAATTCTTTGTATTTATGCTGCATATGCATATGTTTAAAAATAATAGACTAGATAGTTCCACACAATTCTTATACTACTGCAGTACTAGACACTGGATAATTTTGGGTCCAATTTCAATTTCATGTTATATTAGGACTTGGAATACAACCCAGGGACATATGTTGCGGGAGAATATTTGAAGCAAGGAGAATGTGGGTAATGCACTAGAGAAAATAACAATGGGGTCAGTCTCATAGGGAAGGCGATAAGATCTAACTTTGGTTTACAGCACATGTATAGAAATGCACGGAGTGGGGTAAATAACGTTGGCAAGCTATTGATGTAGATAGCCACTTGGAAATTTTATGGCCTGGCACAAAAATTTTCATAGTTACAAAGTATTCAGGAAGGACAGAGAAGGAAAGAAAGGAAGAGTGTGGTTTAAAGAGAATATTACAATGTTACAGAAGGAAAATTACTAGTGGGGTAAAGGACAGGGCTTACTTGATTACAGTTATGAAACAACTGAGGTAACATTACACTGGGTAAATCTATAGACCACCAATTAGTGGGAAAATAGAAGTGCACATCTGTTGGGATCTTCAAAGAGAGGCAAAAACTGTGGAGTACTGATAATGGAAGACTTTAATTATCATAGTAACATAGGCAGTGATAGTGAAAATATCTACGAGGGACAGAGTTTATGAAATATGTTCAGGAGAATTTTTTAGATCAATAAGTTTCCAATCCAACAGGAGAGGAGGCATTGTATGGCTGGATCTCTCTGGGAGAATGAGGTAGGCTAAGTGAATCAAGTGTCAGTAGGTTAACATTTAGGGGACAATGATCATTGTATTGTAAAATTTAGTTATCTGTGGAAAGGGCAAAGAACAACTTACTGTAAAAGTAAGATTCTAGGAGAAAGTAAACTTCAACAGGTTAACACTGGATCTGTGTCAGATAAATTGGGATCAATGATTGGCAGGCAAACTAAAACAGAACAATGGCTGTATCTAATCAATCTCTTTGAAGGCAATCAAGACACATTTTATCAAGGGGAAAAGGTAAAGCAACCAAACCATGGTTTCTAGGATAACGCAAAAGATAGCAAAGAAAGCATGTATATGACAAATGTCAGGTTGATAAAACAAGTAAGAATCTCAACATAGGATGTCTGGAGGAAAGTGAAAAATAAATCGCAGAGGCAAAGGTAGCATGAGAAGAGACTGGCAACTAGATTAGAACAGAATCCTAAAATGTTTTATGGGAACATATAAAAGTGTAGCAAGAGGACAGTGTGGGGTCAATCAGAACCATAAAGAGAATCTATTTACGAAGGCAGAGGGCATGATCTGTATTTAATTAGGAAGAATATGCTGCCAAATCACAGTGAAACAAGTGGTAGTCAAGATACCTCTGGCTGGGCTGAAAATTGATTAAAAAAAGGGAGAGATTAGAAAAGCAGACTGCACTTAAAAGTTGATAAGTTATCAGGGTTGGATGCTGAGGGAAATTACAAAGACACTGGCCATATTCTTCAGATACATGGGTGGTGCCAAAAGAATTGCAAATGTTACACCATGTTCAACGAGGGCTGTGAGAGTAAGCCCAACAACTAGATCAGCCAGTCATGGAAAACCTTTGGAGATGATAATCCAAAACAAACAACAGTCACTTGGACAAATATGGATTCATTAAGGAAAGGAAGGCATTAATTTAATACAGGCAAATCTTGTTTAACTGACACGATCCAGATTTTTAGTGAAGTAACGGATGGGAGGAATCATCCAGCAGATATACAATGGGTTGTGAGACTTCCTGTGCTATAAAATCACTAAGGCTCCATGCTTTGTAACATTTCTCCAAATGGTACATATTTCATCAAAAAGCAGCAGAAAGGAGCAGTTTGGGATCCAGAAATGTGAACTGCATTGAAAGCTGGGATGTTTGTGAAAGAATTATATGTGAGTATCACACAAGACTCCAGTCAGTCTGGTAAAAGCAGCTCCAAGTTGCACTACATAATTTAGTGTTTAACACTCACCCTACAAATGGGTCTGACGTGGACAGCTTGTGAATGATAGCTGGTGTGAAACAATCGTTCAGCTTTCAGCAGTACTGCCAATCCTGCCTATAACACAAAACACCTCTTGACAAAGAGCAAGCATAAGAGAGAACAACAGGGGTGGAAAACAGAATTGATAAAGGTAAATACATTGCAACGTAAAAACTTAATATCGCAATTTCATGAGCCACATATCCTAGCACGTGTGTGACGTACCAAATATCACAGGCTCCATCTAGTGTACACCAGCTATCAGAACTTCTGCTGTTCCCACTTTCAGCTTAATCTATGAACCACTTACTGAACACATAATATCTCTGTAATCAATGGAGATGGAGTTCCAAATAAAGTGAAACTGTTGATGACTTTGTAACAATAATAACAATTCCACAAACCCTCAATTTCCTGACAAACTTTAAGATGGTCATTGCCCTTTGCCCAGCCTAAACTCTTATATTCATTCAACCTTGGTCCAACCCTCTCTACAGAACACTGTGCTCCCCAGTGTCACATCAGCAAGTCAAACTGAAGCATGTTTCAATTTAGGCTGGGCAGCCCTCTTAGTTCACCCTCTCTCTGGTAACCAGCTAGAACACAGTTCATGCAAGATGCATGGTCGTCACTTATGCGTTATGTACTGGTTTTTACTGGACTTTATACAAATAATTTCAGGGCTGTTTGCTTTGTATAGTAAATACATTTCTTGTATTACTTTTATTGCTGCATAATTAAACCTATTAGATGTTTTTCATTTGACTTATTTCTAACCTTTGCTTGTGTTAATCATCTGCACAAACTGAAGTAAAAACACAATGCATAGTTAAATTTTATTTCTAGCCCCTTTAGTGGTGTTTCAGTTGTGCATTTTACCTTTGAACCACAGGGTAGAAGTTTTTTCCATGGAGTAAGATTTTCAGTGCAAACGATTTCTCTCGGCAATGCTGCATACCTGAGGAATTTATGGTCTGTTTCTACAGGGAAATATATAGATAGGGTGAGATATCCCGACACCAGTTTATAGTACAAGGTGCAAAACAGGTAGCATGATTACAGCAAGTACCTACTGCTTACTCAGGTTGATACAACCTGCATTCAACTGTATGGGGCATCTAGTTTGCCAAACTGTTTACTTGCTTGAATATTTTCAAAACAGCATACAAGCAACCATGAAAGCACAAAGATACTAGTGGGTGAAAATGACCAGTAATGATCCACAGCTGGTGGAATAAAACTATCACTACTTTCCAAAGTACAACACACTCACTAACACGGCTACGTTATCTAAATACTATGGAGGAATGGGAAGCAAGCAAGATGGAGAAGTGCAGCTAGCAATAAGGAGGGTAAGTGCCATGGAAATGATGGTGAGGAAAGAAGACTGTTACATAGTCCAAGGAATTGAGGTTGGGGTGAGTCCCAAGAACAAGGGAGTGATTTTACGGAAGACTGCTACACATATACATATGCATATATAAAAATTGCATCTATAAAGACACGCACACACCAGCTGAAAAATGTAATGCTTACCATTAATGATGCCAAGAGGTTTAAAAGAAGCTGTTGGAATAACTGTGTTTGTTGAGTCAATGAAGTTAAGAGATGCACAGAACAAACCTGACAGAACATTAGTCAGCTCCTTCCAGGTGGTGTCAACACTGCGAACAAAAGGTTCATCTAGGTTAAATTCATATAGTCAATACATAATGTACACGCAGAGACGTGGCAATCAATCCTTAACACATGGACAAAATCAGCAGTCTCATTTATAAACTGCACCTCACCTAATTTCAAGGCAGCGATGACAAACATCTTGAAACTTTACCTCATTCGACGTAACACACCACTTCATACAGACATATTCAATAAACAGAACCACACCGGTCTGAGTACCAGCTTTGTGGTGTAGGCTCATGTCCATATTGGAACAAGCATCATATGGCCAGTTGGCTGGATGGCCAGTTTGCAATAGAGAGTGATGCCAACAGCCCGGGTTCAATTCTAGCACTGGCTGAGGTTACCATGAAGGACCGACCTTCTTAACCTCTCCCCTTGCCTGAGGTGACCCTCAAATTAAACTACCACCAGTTGTCATCTATAATCGACAGGGCAGCCCTATGGTCCAGCAGGACTATGGCAATGTTACCTTTATATAAATATTGTAATAAGTCATCAGGTAATCCACCATATTCTTACACACAGCAAGTCGATATTAAACATCTTCAAGTAAAAAAGGGTTAAAGGCCAGGGTATGCAGACAGAATTCAGTTCTTTTTCTTACAAAATATTTTCCTAATAAATTCTTGGGGAAGTTGCCTTTTTAAACACACCAAAGCTTAATGATACCTTCCCATTAATATTGGCACAGCATTACTGAGATAGAAGGGAGCATGCAACAACAAATGCAGAAGTATTCAGCTCCTCAAGCTTGCACCATCATTCAATAAGATTACAACTAACTTAAACAATTGGCTTCAACTGTTGACCCATATCCCCACAATTCCTTAAGAGTACTGATTTCAGTCTTAAATGTACTCAACAACTAGGCAGCCAAAGAATTGAGCAAAGAGATTGCTTCCAATCTCAGTCTGAAATGGGGAAAACCATATCCTGAGGCTGTTTCCTCGCTGGAGAAACAGCCAGTCAGCATTTAGCTTGTCAAGCTCTTATGTCTGTTTCACAGATCACTTTTCATTATTCTAAACACCCAACAATACATGCTCATTATCCTTAACTTCTCCACATAACAGCCCTCTCATGCTGGCTATCTTTATTGCATCACCCCAAGGAAAGTATATCCTTTCTATGATATGGAAACCAAATCGTACAAGATAAACCCAGTGTAATCTCGCCAAGGCCTATTCAATTCTAGCATCACTTCCCTTCTCTTGTACCCCAGCCTCCTTACAAGATCAGCAGACCACTTCTCTTTCCAAGTGGTTTTCTATACCCACACTTTGTGTTTAGTGTGCGAGGAAATCCAAAACGATTAATGTTTAAATAATAGCTTTTCTCTACTTCCTGCCAAAGTAAATAACCTCATATTTGCTCATTCTTTTGCAAACACTGTTTCTATCTCACAACTTCACTTCCCAGCCAGGATTAAATAATCATGAGCTTTGCTATATTAGACTTTGACAATAATACTGAGAGTAAGGCATTAATGTGGATTGCAAACAACAGACTCTGATCCTTGCAGCACTCCAGTAGTAACAGACAGCCAACCTCAACATTACCTGTTTATTCCTGCTTTAACAAATTTTCTGTCTGTGCAATATATTAGTCCAATCCACTGAACTCTCATCTTGCACAGAACCTTGCCATGTAAATCGACTGTTTTTGGAAAATCTAAGTACCGTACATTGCAACATACAAATCTACCTGCCATTTAAGATGATCTGATATTTTCTGCCCCAAAATAATATTTTTTCTACATACTTGCTATAAAATTTAATCCCTCTTTTTTAGCCATGACATTCCATACTCACATTAAGTGCTAGCCTTAGTTTTTTTAGCCCACATGTTGATATTTTACTTACTTATAACCAGGTGCCTTGGGATCAAGCAGGCAATATGGGATGTTCTGCATAGATGTGCAGGAGTTTTAGCTCACACCCACACAGCAGACCCCTTATAGATTGACAAATATTGCGATCACCACATCAATATTCCATGTGCAGGTCAAGCCCCATTTTTGAAGCAATTTTTCGAGGCTTCAAAGGTCAATTTAAAAGGTGACATTTAAATTGACCCTTATGCTTATACTGCATCGCCCTTTACCTACCCTACTAATTATACCCTCAAGACATTTTAATGGATTTATCAATAATTATCACTTTCATAAAATCAAACTGATGCTGCCTAATCACACAATGATTTCCCCGGTGCCCTGTACCCAGTTACTTGATAATAGATTCTAGCAATTTTCCAATTTATGATGTCAAGCTAACTAGCTTGTAGTTACCCATTCTGTCCCGCCCCCTGCAACTGTGATCCTGCTATTCAAGAAAGTAGGGAAAAGGAGGGTTAAATTAAAGTGTTATAAGTTTACATAGGCAAAGCACATCAAAAATATGAACGTAGGAATTTATAATAGCAGAAACCAAAAGGAAGCACGCCCAGACTCAAGAGGTTAAATATCGGACAAGCCGAGGTAAGCGTGTGACTTACTCTGACACTGACGACTGGAACCAGACCCAAAGCTCTGCTCCAGGCGGGGCCTGCAGGAAAGGTTGCCCCCACCGTGACCGCCTCCAGAAACCATGAGTGAAGGAGAGGTGCAGCTCACGAACTGAGAACTTGGAGATTACTTGTCCCAGTGACTTTGGAAACAGCCTGTAGTGAGACACTGTAGAAATAACCCGAGCATTAGTAGTGGAGCATTACCACCAGAATTTCTAGTATCAAAACCCCAAAGGGATAGCACTTGATCACTCCATAGGATGTAGAAGCAAAAATTGACCATTCACTTCATCAAGTCTACTCTGCTTTCAATGGGATCATGGCTGATCCAATAATGAACTACACTTTCCTGCCTTTTCTCCATAAGCCTCAATTCTCTTTCTGATTAAAAAATCCATCTATCTGAGCCTAATGTCACAACATCGACAGCCCTCTGTGGTAAATAATTCCGCAGATTAACCATCCTCTAAGAGAATAAATTCCTCCTCATCACTCTTAATAGACCAGTGTATTTCTTGTGTATAGACAAATAGACACTACAGGCAACATGGTAACAAAAACTACTTCACGTTATTTTATCCAGGCCAAAAATAAACAGTTAAAGATACAGTACACATCTCTAGTTGACGCTGACCCTCAGGGAGCGGAGCTCGGCCCCCCGAGTTGACGCTGACCCT